GATATGCGAAGCTGAGCCTCACCCGAGCTATGAGGGGAGCCCGGCTTGTGCCGACTAATGTCGACTCGATCAACGTGTGTCAGTTAGTGCTGAAGCGACAGAGCTTTGCCCTTACCCACAGTGGTGCCCAGACACAGCAGTAACCTACGAGCGACAATTGCAACTTCTCGCGCCTGGGCGGGGCGCGAATCGCCGATCCCTCGGATGAGAGGAGGGCACGTTACTACTGTACTAGCCTGGAGGCTTAGGAGGCAAGGGAGAGAAAGCGGTTTAAGAGGGAAATGAGGAGAAGTACTCGGGAAACACGGGGCAGGTAAGGACAGGAGAACGGAAGCGAAGGGAGGTCAGGTCAGGTCAAAGGATCAGGCGGTCTATGTGACGGGTGACCTGCATAAGGGAGGAGACGGAGGGTGTGGGAAGCGAGGAGGCTGTCGGCAGGAGAAAAACCGCTGTTCAAGTTGAAATTGGGCAGCAGCTTAATCAGAGAAGATTCCACCAGTTTGCGGGCATGGACATCAGCGGAAGGGAAGAGAATGCGTGTTGCTTTCCAGTCCACCTGATGGCCAGTGTCTCACTGATGGCAGAAGAGGGCGTTGTTGCTATGTCCCCTGGATACAGCGTACTTATGCTGAGACAGACGCTTAGTAAGACTGGCGCCTGTTTCACCAAAATACTGCTTATCACAGGAGGCACACGGAACAGCATAGGTGCCCACCTTCGAGGTAGAGGGAGGGGAGGTGTGAACCAGGTAACGACGGAGAGTATTCACCTGGCGAAAGGAGAGTCTGCAGTTGAGAGACTGCAGGGGCCGACGGAGGGAGTAGATCTCCTCAGTGTAAGGCAGGCTGAGGACAGGCAGGTGAGATGACTCGTTGGGAGGGGAGTCATGGTAGAAGGTACGCCGCACCCTGGATAACACGACGTCAAGTTTAGAGAACGAACGACGAAGGAAGTCGATCTCTCCATCCAGGTACTGGGGGTCACAGATGCAGAGGGCACGGAGAAACAGCGATGTGGCAACCCCTCTCTTCACATGCAGTGGATGGTACGAGAAGTGTATGTACTTACCACTGTGCATAGGTTTTCTGTCTATAGAAAAAGGAGGAATGATCATCAGAGCGATGGACAAGAGTGTCCAAGAAAGGGAGCATGTCGTCAACCTCCCATTCCACATTGAAGCGGGTGGGAGAGAGAGAATTCAGCTGCGACAAGAAATCAGGAAACAGGGCAGGGTCATGGGGCCAGAGGGTGAAGAGTTCGTCGACATATCTCAGCCACATGGAAGGACGAGGGGAGATGGAAGGGAGGAGCTCCGACTCGAAGAACTCAATGTACAGATTAACCAGAACAGGGGAGAGAGGAGAGCCCATGGCAACACCGAATGTCTGTGAGTAGAAACGACCCTCAAAGGAGAAGGAATTCGACTCCACACACAGACGAATCAGCTGGAGGAAGATTTCCGTGGGAAGAGGAAGACGAGGATCCTCATGGCTCATCATGGACGCCGGCGGGACACCGCGGACACGGGAGATGAAATCCTGTGAATGGCGAAGGTGAGCAGGAGAGAAGGTGCCGAGAAGGGGACTGAGAGACTTAGCCAGCCAAGTCGCCAGAGGATGCGTCACCGATCCCCAGGAGGAGATGATAGGGCGTAGAAGCGCGGCCGGCTTATGGGTTTTAGGAAACCCATAGAAATGAGGGAGGCGTGGGTTGACGACCTTGAACCTCTGGTAAAGGTCCGCCTCCGGGAAACAGGCTGCAAGCTCTCTCAGACGACGGTGGAAAATGGCAGCAATGCGTTCCCGAGGGTCACTGGTCAGGAGGGCATAGGTGGAGGCGTCACCTAACAGGTCCTAGGCTCTCTGCAGGTAGGAGGCTCGGTCGAGGACCACCACCGAGTTGTCTTTGTCAGAAGGCAAAATGGTGACATCCTCCCTGCGCAGGCTGTGAAGGGCCTCACGGTAACGCTTGGGGATGGAAGGGTTAGAGTGAAGGAGGGACTCGAGGGCCGGAAGGAAGGCCTCACGTAGGAGGGAGACATCAGGCAAGGAGTTCCTATGAGCGGAAATGAACCGGTCAAAGGAAGAAATGATGTCAATGGAGGTAAGGGGGAGAGGGCGGAGAGCAAAGGAAGGACCGAAGCCAAGTTGTTGTTGTTGGTGAGAGGTCAAGGACAGGGAGGAAAGGTTGGTAACCGCGTCGATGAGGGAGAAGCGGGACCAGGGACTACGGGAGGTAAGGTTAGAGAGTTTCTGGGAGAGGGAGCGGACATGGGTAGTGCAGAGGAACCGGGAAGAATCGTGGGCCACGTCAGCTAAGAGCTGGAAGACATGGCCGGGGAGTCAGAACGAACCCGCGAGCGATAGTAGGAATGCTCGACATCCCTCTTACCAGCGCGGATCCGTTCAAGGAGGAGGGAACGAGCATAATCAGGAAAAGGAGAACATTCATCCGAGTACTTCAAGAGATTGACGATCGAGGAAGGGAGCACCTGCTCCTC